ATTTTTTCTTTTTGGATATGTTTACATCACTCCCTTTTTAAACTGATATTCTTGTTATTTTTAACAAAGCTTTTTGGTTACTGCTCATATGCGTATTTTTACCAGTTTTTTCATTTAGTTCTTCTCTAATGTCTAATTAATAACTGAAAATGGATAACCAGTATCAAGGTGTGCCTTAACCTCACTGAGCTGAGGTTATTTGAGCCTCTCAGGAGAGAGCTCTCTTCCACCTGGTTGTAGAAAAGCTCTTTAAATTCGTTAGCATAGCTAGCTAACCAGATGCTAAAAACAACAGATCGCCACTCTGCTTACAACTAAAGACACAGCCACGCAAACACTGCGGCATGTGTACGGCTCCTTATGGGTACTGCAATATTTGAAGAGCTGGAGCGGCACTAAACTCCTTTCAGACGAGACATAACCACGTGAAGACACGTTACGCTCGTGTTGTGTTCATGGAACCTGTCCTTGGCCAGGAAAAACAGGCACTCGCTTGTTTAATTATTTTGCGATCTAGATTTCTTCTTCCTTATTGAAGTTGTCAGTCGGACGGACCCCCCCGCCCCCCCCAAAACTAAAAAACTCTTCGGTTTTCCACGAATTACACAAGTCACCCAAATCAGCGTTAAAAAGCGGGAGGCGCCGAGAAGCCACTAATTTGCATCACTGGTTTATAAAGCATTGAATGGTTCGGGACAGAAATAGGTTTCTGATCTCCTGCTTCATTAAGAACCATCCAGAACTCTCAGGTCTTCTGGTCTGCTTTCTGTCAGAGTCAGAACTAAACATGGATAAGCAGAGTTCAGTTATTATGCTCCAAATATCTGGAGCAAACTCCCAGAATCCTGCAGGTCCGCTGCACCTCTGACTACTTTCCATCCAGGCTGAAGACTTTTCTTTTCAAGCTGCTTTTAAATTGAACTATTCACACCTTCCACTCTACTGTAACTTGTATTCATGTATGTTATATCAGTGTTTTTCTATATTAGCTTGTTTTATGTTTATCTTATTCTCTTCTCTTTTTAATGACTGTTTTGAAAGTTTTTGGATGTCATTTTATAATGTGATTCCCTTGCACTATATATAAGTGCTCTTAATGTTTTTCTTTTTTTTTCACTTTGAATTACTTTGTGTTGAAAAATGCTTGATAACTAAACTTGCCTTTACTTTTCCCTAGGGTTGTTGCTGCTACCTGACTGTATTTCTTCTTCTTCTTCTAGGTGTGACTTGCCTTTCATTTGTATGGCACTCCCTGTATAAAGTGCTCACCTCCTCTGCTGCCTGCAGGTCCTCTTCCTCGGACACCTCTGCCATCCCGGAGGGGGCTGCCTGAGAGCCAGGGGCCAGCGGGGCCTTCCTGTCATCCACCTAGAGAAGGGAGACAGGACGCTGAGTAAAGAGACGAAGCAGGACCTGCTGGTGTCCGCATACAGAATGACAGTACTTCTACTCTTTGCTGTGTTAAAGACTACTCCCCTGATTCAGTACTGCACTCCTTTAACATTGTCACAGCGAGGATGGCAAAATTAACCGTTCAGAAACTGTACAAATCTATGGAGCCTGCATTCTTTTTTCATTACCCACAAAGTGCACACAAAATGCACAATGGGTGAGTGTTTAGGCTTATGTAGAGATGAGCTACAGAGGGCTGCTCAGCTCACTCATCTAAATGAACACCTCCAGATATTGCACTTGTAAAGCCTGTAGTCTTCATCTACATGACTTGAGGAGATTGATCAGACTTTACACAGCACCCTGTAGACAAACGTTATACTCCCCAATACATTTGTTGCAGTCAAATTCTCAATTTTGCTTAAGAACGTTTCTAAAGGAGTGAAATGACCCAGGAGAAGTGGCAGCCATGATAAGAGCTGATGGAATTCTTCAGATGACAGGAGAGGAGCTTTGTTATTTTCATTCTGTGTGACTGGCCACGCCACACACCGTTTAGTATTCAACATACTTATTAGTGCCAATGCTGTGCAACAATAGTTGGAGTATTTTTCCAACTATTGCTCGGCTGGCCACAATTTTCATTCTTCATACATCATTAGGTGATCATAATGTAGGGAAATGTGTCACGGCCGCACCGATATGCTCATTTAATCAAACGGACTTACACATAGCAAACACGAGAGTCATCAGGTGTGTTCATCTGGTATCCTAAATACTCTGGCTAGGATACTTATCTGATTGGAGTTACAGTTTTTTTTTTTACTTAGAAGCAATAATGCAGCACAATATTTTCAACACATTCTCTGACAGGCTGTCTCTCGTTCACTGGCAGGGCGTNTGTTCATCTGGTATCCTAAATACTCTGGGCAGGATATTTAGCTGATTGGAGTTACAGTTTTTTTTACTTAGAAGCAATAATGCAGCACAATATTGTCAATACATTCTCTGACAGGCTGTCTCTCGTTCACTGGCAGGGCGTTGCCGTGGAAACATCTAAAGATGTTCAGAAACGATGCAGGAATGTGGTACAAGAATCATAAAATGTAAGTAATATATAAACAGTTGAAATAGTCAGCGAAAAGTGAGCTCAAAGGAATGGATATTCTTTTTTGTACCTTAACAATACAACTAATGCTATTAATACTTACTCAGCGGGGGCAATGTTAGCATCGGGACGTGCTCCCAAGTTCCAGTTTATACACTGGACCATCCAAAAGAAAAGGAGATAATGCTGTCCAACAATTATTTGTGGCCCCAAATTCTGACTTTTTAAAATGATGAAATAAAGTCAACATCCCAGTGTTTACCGAGTAGAATGGTGGCTCTTTGATTAAGATGTTTAAGTGGTGATAAGCAACAGATGATGTGTTGGCCCAACACATTTTCACACAATAATACTTATTCATGTCGATAACTACGTATTGAGAGGAGGGTGAATGCAAGCAATCATTTCCTTTTTTATTCTAATTTAACCATTGTCTAATTCAACTACTGTTAATAAAGAAATATACATGTCACTGTTGTACACATAAATAAAGCACACATAAAACAAGACACATTACAGTAGTCCGCTGTACAGAAAGCCCCATGGAGCTGTGCACTGAGGTTAAGACAATGGGACCCTAACCCAGTGAACAGGCGCTGGTGTGTAACATTGGTGGAGTTCCCCTTTGACATAAGCAATGTGTCAACCTGATCAGTGAGGGCTGAGAAGGAGCAGCATCTTACTTTAAAAGCCTGATCAGTGATAAAAGGACATGAAATGCTCTCGGTTCCTTTTATAAAAGAGAAGAACAACCTACCATGTCTTGTTTGGACTGTTTGCTGAATCCATACCGCCTAGACAGAGAGAAATGAAGGCACACATAACTAAGGTGTACAAATACAGTAAGTATTTCCTTTGCCATAAAAGGAACTTTTAAGAAATAACAGAAAAAAATATGAACCAAAACATAAAATATTGCACTAGGTTGTCGTTTCACTGCAGGTTGTATATCATCTCCTCCTTGGCAATAAGATGCGTGGTCTTGTTGAACAGGGGAACTTTTAAGTACACCATGCAACATTACAACTTTAACACAACAAATGGAATTAATCTAGCATGAGAATAAATAGGCCGTTCAGAGCAGGATTGTGTGATTGAATACATTGCAAGCAGCAGCAGTGCAGTCTGCTTCCATCATGCCTAAAAACTGTTGAGATGCATTCTCTGACACACACGTCACACAGTGCTGGGAGGAGAAGCTTGCAACAAAGATTCACACGTCACACAGTACTTACAGGAGGAAATGGGACTTTCTAGTAGAAAGACGCGGATGAATGGATGAAAAACAATGTGTCAGACAGACATGAAACTAAACATGGGATGTGTGGATTGAAGAGCATAACAGGACATGAAAGGGGTTTGGGTAAAAGGTTAAAAAGGCTGAGAGAGAATGTATGCTTGTGAACAAAAAAAAGATTTTTTTACATGATGAAGAACTGTTTTTCAGAAACAGCTGAGAGCAAACGTTTTCAGTTCCCAAAAACCATGAGCTGTGTTAAACAGAAATAGTGATAGAAAGCAGACTGAGGAGGGTTGGGACGTGGCAGCTGAATACACAACAAGCTTATCCTATATTATAAATACAGTCAAGGTATAATAAAACAAAGTTCATTGAAGCCAGAGGGTAGAAAGCATGACCTATACAAAATTGTCCTCCCTTAAGTTATTTAAATACATTGTTGTTGGTCCCTTGCATCTTATTGCAATTCGCTACAAAATGTATGATAAAACAGTTTAAAAGTGTCAAGGTAAGAACTTAACAAACTCTTGTACAGGGGCTGAAATAATGTAAAGAGAGAGGAGGAAATGTCATCCAAGTACACATACAGATCACAATATAAACAATATAATCCTTTTTTTAAATAAAGTACATGAAAGGCAGATTTATTTTAGAAATACTCAGTATTATAATTACGGATGCACCGAGTCATCGGTCCAATGCCCTATTTACTGCATTCGGTAGATAAGGTGACATGGCATAACACCCCACGATCGCACTCACATTACCGCAAATGTTACGGTCGCCCGTCTTACACATTGAAGTTTAAAGAGAACAGGGTACAGCTTTGGAGGCATGACTCCATTCATTCCTGTGAGAGTTGCTCAGTGAACCATTAAGCCAAAGTGGTCTGGCTTGAGAGCAAAAGTAGCGTACCTGGGACGGAGCAGGCCCTCCAATTCGCAGTGTGTTTTAATGTCTAGCCCAGGGGTCGGGGTCTCTCGAGCCGCATGCTTTAAGCCCTCTGCTCTGGCTCCCTTGAGCTTAGACAAAAATAAGAAGGAAATAAAATAAAAGTATTTGTAGGACTATTTATATTTTGTTGCACGGTTGAAAATGTTTCTTATCTTGTATTTTGAGGTGATACTGTGACACATAAATAAAAAACTAAACGGTTTTAATTAGTTCAACTAAAATATGCGTCACGTCCTGCTACGGTCCAGCACCAGCGCCTTTTCTTGCAGGCGAATAAACTGACCCCCGGCTCGATGAGCGAACTATGGATAAATCAAAGAAAAGAAAAGTACCGGAGGAACACAGGATTTAATTCTGCGTGGACTGAGTTATATGCTTTCACAGCAAACGATGCTGGTTTACCGGTATGTTTGATATGTAGAGAGAAGTTGTCAAAGGTGCTGCAGCCTTTACGTATCGAGGAACAACAAGGGAGAGGAAGACAGCTGATGATCTTCAGTCATAATTCAATCAGTTAACTCTTTTTAGGGTGCAGCTATATGTTTTATTTATTTCAAAGTGGGCCCATTTTAATTATATATACATTTTCTTCAAATGTGATTGATTTATTTTAAAGTAGGCCTGTGTATTTTTTTGTATTCTCCTTATAAGAGTTCTTTGTTTATTTTTAGAGGTAAACAATTTTATATAATGTAATAAATAATAAATGCAAAAAAACTAGTTTTTTTCTATGATGTAACAATATATAAAACTTTATAAGCTATCAAGCTATCAAATATG